AGAGGAAAGAATCACTGAATTTGAAGACAAATTAATAGAAATGATCAAATTTTAAGAACAAAGAAAAAATACTGAAAAATATGAGAAGAACTTCCGAGATCTACGGGACAACATCAAAAGGTCTAATATTCATGTCACTGGAGTATCAGAAAGAGAGGATGATATTTGTATGGGGAAAAAAGTTAAAGAAATAATGTCCAAAACCTTCCCAAACTTGAGTGAAAGATAAATTAACAGACTAAACAAGTGCAGTGATCCCCAGGCAGCATAATCTCAAAGAAAACTATGCCAAGAAATATAATAATCAAATTGCTGAAAATAAAAAATGAAGAAAAATACCTTGAAAGCAGTTAGAGAAAAGCAACAAAAGGTCTATAGGGGAACAGTGGTACAAATTCCACAAATTTCTCATCAGAAATATAGTGGCCAGAACACAGTGGAATAGTATCCTTAGAGCATTGAAAGTAATAAATTGTCAATCCAGAATTCCAATCAGGGAAAAGGACCTTCAGAAATGAAAGCAAAATAAAGGCATTCTCAGATAAAGGAAAAGTGAGAGAATTTGTCAACAACAGACCTGCTGTTAAAGAAATGATAAAGAGCCCTGACCGGGTGGCTCAGTTGGTTTGGCATCATCCCGCACAGTGAAAGGTCCCAGGTTAGATTCCTGGTCAGGGTACATGCCTGGGTTGCAGGTTTGGTCCCTAGTTGGGGCATGTATAAGGTAAGAAAGGCAACTGATCAGTATGTCTCTCTCACATCGATGTTTCTCTCCTTCTCTTTCTCTTTCCCTTTCCCTCTCTAAAGAGAGGGAAAGGGAGGGAGATAGATAGCGAGAGAAACATCAATGTGCGGTTGCTGGGGGTAATGGCCTGCAACCCAGGAATGTACCCTGGCTGGGAATCGAACCTGGGACACTTTGGTTCCCAGCCCGCGCTCAATCCACTGAGCTACGCCAGCCAGGGCTTAAATAAAATCTTTTTAAAAAGTAAAGAAAAGAATTTAAAAAAAGAAATGGTAAAGAAAAATTATAACAGAGGGAAACTTGGAACTTCAGGAATAAAAAATATAACAGCAGAAATAGTAAATACCTGAGAAAATATAAAATACTATATCTCTCCTAAGTTTTTAAAAATATGAATGACTGTTCTAGGCAAAAATATTATCGTCTACATTTTACTAGAAGTGGTAAAATATGAACTCTAAAAGACTATGAAAAGTCAGGTACATGTATTATAATCCTTAGAGCAACCACTAAAAGTTATTGCAAAGAAATGTAGCCAAAAATACAATAGATAAATTGAAATGGATTACTAAAAAATATTCAAGCAACCCCAAAGAATACTTCTACCCTGCTTACAATATCAGTGAGCCTGAGACTGTTAACCTACAATTTTCTGTTAATGGGAGTAAACAAACCCCTCTCACTTGAAAGCACATAAATGGGGCTTCCTGTTACTTGGAGGGAGAAGAATGCCTAACTGAGAAAGAACATTTTCACATAATATCTTAGCTGCCCTTTGAGATGACCAGGCTAGATTCTAGCATGGACAGGGAAATTGAGCTACAGAGACTGTGTGTTTTAAATGTCTTCCTCAAGTCTTTTCAAACTTCAGATCTGGTGGAAAGGCAGGAATTTTCTTTGGAGTAAAAATACACTCTACACATGCAGTGCCCCAGCACATGGTGTGGGCCTGTACTTGCAGGAACAACAGATGGCCCTGAAAGCGGCCATGGTTCGGGACACCCTGACTGCTGCCCCACTGATTCTTCTGGGGTTTTGTCCTGGGAGAAGTGCTGGGGCCAGCGGTGAGAGAGCATGGTGAGTCTTGGTTACTCAACAGAAAGGGCCTCCATTCTGAAGAGGAAAAGAAATCCATTGTTGTAGACATTTAGTGAAATCAAAGCTATCTTTAATCCGTCTATGGAAAGGAGTGGCTGAATTCTCCCAATTCTAGGTATATCTTGAAACCTGTTACTGAGGTCTAGCTGAACTGCCAAGTACCAAGGCCTCTTTCACCTCTGTGTCTCTGAAGAACAAAGTCCCATGTCCTGCCCCCTGGAGGTGGAAGCAGTGTCCAGCTTGGAGGTGCAAACACCATCCTAGCTTGGCTGGAGCTCTGCCTGTTGTAAAGGAAGGACAAGGGATTGTAACAGGCTTGGCAAGAAATATTCAAAGTCATGAAAAGCAGGGACCTACAGTCAAGACTGCTCTACCCAGCAAAACTATCATTTAGAATTGAAGGGCAGATAAAGAGCTTCCCAGACAAGAAAAAAACTAAAGGAGTTCATCATCACCAAGCCATTATTATATGAAATGTTAAAGGGACTTATTTAAGAAAAAAAAGGATCAAAAGTATGAACAATAAAATGGCAATAAATACATATCTATCAACAATTGAATCTAAAAAAGAAACTAAGCAAACAAGAAGAACAGAGACAGAGTTGTAGATACAAAGAGCATTTTTATGGTTGCCAGATGGGAGGGGGCTGTGGGGAAATGGGTGAAGACGTGAGGGGATTAAGAAGTACAAATTGGTCATTACAGAACAGCCATGGGGATGTAAAGTACAGTGTAGAAATGGAGTAGCCGAAGAACTTATACACCTGACCCATGGACATGAACAATGGTGGGAGGATTGCCTGAGGGGGTGGGGAGGTGCTGGGTGGAGTGGAGTAAAGGGGAAAAAATTGGGACAACTCTAGTAGCATAATCAATAAAATATAATTTAAAAATAAAATAAAATTGAAAATGATTTTGCAAAGTGGGAGGGAAACAAGTGATCCTCCTTTCACAAAAAATGAAACTAAGATCAACCCTGAAGAGATGTGAGAAGCCCAAGGTCACAGGTCCTGCAGACTTGCCAAGCAATGGATTAGAGATGATTCACTTCCTCCAGCAACCCCAATAGCCATGAAAAGAGGCCATCTATGGTCCTTACATGGCGTGGCCCACATTCTAGAGCCTTCCATGTGCATGACTTAGGTGTGTTAAAAGAAAAACTGAATGATGCACATTAAAATTTTCCAGAGTTTATTTGAACAAACATCAGTTCAAATTGGTCAGCATCAGAATTTGGTAGGAGCCCTCCAAGACAGAAGCTAGGGTAAGGCAGATGCAGAAGCAAAACAAGGTGATCATTTGATTGACTAGAGCTTTTTTTGTGAACACAAGTTCATTGACTCTGGCTTAGGTTCCAGTTTTCTTAGGCAGGTTAGCAAGACATCAGAGCCACCTCAGTCTACCGGACTCCTTGTCTAACTGCATTAACAGGTGGTATTTGAACTTTCCCTTCTTCATTGGTGATCTCCAAATACATGCCTCCAGCATCATTCTCTCCCCAATCTGTGTGGATCCAAAAGCATCCTCTCCCCAATCTGTGTGATACCATGAGTGCGTACACCCCCATGCGTGAAACCAGAAATATGTGTGACCCTATGAATGTCCACTAGCCAGCTGGGTAACTCAGGAGTGTCTACTCCCTAGTGTGTATAAGCCCAGATATGTCCACGTGCAAATTGGTTTGACCCCAGGACTGCCCACACCCCAGGTTTTTTGACTACAGCAGTGCTGGCATGCTAGTCAACCTGACACTAAAAGTGTCTACACTCTACTCTTGGTGACCCCAAGAGTGTAAAATCTCCAGTGTGTGTGATTCCAAGAGTGCCCATTCCCCAGAGTGTGTGACTTCCGGAATGCCCAGAACCCTGTCTGAGTAACCCAAGACTGTCTATGCCCCAGTGTGTGTTACCTCGTGTGGTATTCATACCCTGTCTATGTGGCCCCAGGAGTGCTCACAATCCAGTCAGTGTGACTCCAGGATTATCCACATGTCTGTCTCTGTGATGTCAAGGGTGTCCACACCCCAGTCCATGTGACCCTAGGAGTGTCCACACAACAATTGCACAAGAAGACCTCAGAGCTCACACCCCAAAAGAATTCAGGAATATTGCACCCTGAGGCACAGAACACTGAATAGTTTAGAGATCTTGGTCTGGAAACAGGCCTATAAAAAGTCATAATGGTCATATTCTAACTCAGCTCCTAACTTCACAGCCTGGACAAAGACTTTCAAATAGATCAGAGAGCTCACACTCTGGAGAAACACCCATAAAAAGATCGTAAACCTTGTCCTGGCTGGTGTGGCTCAGTAGAATGAGCACCGGCCTGCAAACCAAAGGGATGCTGGTTTGATTCCCAGTCCATAATCCATGCCTGGGTTATGGACCAGGTCCCCAGTGAGGGGCATGCAAGAGGCAACCATACATTGATGTTTCTCTCCCTTTTTCCCTCCCTTCCCTACCATCTAAAAATAAAATAAATTAAAAATCTTAAAAAAGATCATAGGCCTCATACCCTAGCATAAAGTCCCCCAATACTTTGAGGTGGGTAGTTTTTCTTCAACCACAAAGAAATCCCTTACACATATATACCTGTTATTCACAAACTGAATGTTTGCACCTCCCCAAATCCACACATTGAAGCCCTAATTCCCAATAAGATGGTTTTAGAATGTGGGGCCTTTGGGAGGTGATAAGGGTTAGATGAGGTCATGATAGTGGGTCCTCATGATAGGAATAGTGCCCTGATAGGAAAAGACTAGAAAGTTTGCTCTTTCTCTCTGCCATGTGAGGACACAGAGGAAAGGTGGCCATCTACAAGCCAGGTAGAGAGTCGTCTCCAGAACCTGACTGTACTGACACCCTGATCTTGGTCTTCTGGCCTCCAAACTTGTGAGAAAATAAATTTTGTTTTTTTAAGCTACCCAGGCCATAATATTTTGTTATGTTGGCCTGAGCTGTCTAAGACACACCTTAAGCTTTTACTTTCAAGGTCTTGAGTTTTATGTCAGAGTCCTCGTACTTGCACCGCCTACTTGCCTGCCTCTGTCACCACTAGCAGTCCTCAGCCTGTGGCCCTCCCATTCCTGCCCCTTGATCTCCAAGCGCTGAGCCAGAGACTTGTCTGGAGGTCCCAGGACAAGGACATTTAGCCTGCCATGCTGTGCCTTCTGCTCTCCAGGCTGCCAGCTAGGATGTGGGGCAGGATTTCGGAGAAGCAGGTGAATGGGGTAGTCCCTGGGGGCCTGGGGCACAGGTGTTAGTAACAAGACTGGGGACCTACAGCTCAGGCCTGGTAACCTGCTTCCCATCTATGTGGGCTATCCTTGTGTGCTGACATCCACTTTCCCCTCTTCCTCTCTCTTTCTTCCTCTTTCAAAGACAAGCAGATGGCAGCAGAGGGACATGGAAAGGCCCTGCTCTAACACACGGTCAGCCATCAACATGTCTGCAGGAGTGGGTCTGGCTGAGGGCCAGCTTCTCTAATCCCTCAGGGTGGCTCCAGGGAGCTAGTTCAACCAAGGACATTAGGATGGGGCAGTGTAGGGAAAGGCCAGGAAACAGCACTGACCTTGAGGTTTGCCATAAGAATTCTGGGGCCGCTGGTACCTTGAAGAGGACTTTGTAGAAAGATAGAAGCCTTCCCTGTGAAAGAGTCAGGAGGGAGGGTGTCATGGTCTGGGCACTGTATTACCTGTATAGGGTTATTGTGAGGAATAAAATGGACTCTATTTTGTATAGTTCTTAGAACAAGGCATATTGTAAGCCTTATGTGATTACTATGTCTTGATTTTCTTTTTATAAACCTTGCTTTGACAACCCTGAATAATCTGGCCCTTACCTTTCCCTCCTGCTCATGCCTCATTCACCCTTGGATTCTAAGCCACAGTGGCCTTCTTCCTGTTCCTTCAGAGAGCCAGTCCTGCTCATTTTTGAATTTGCAAGGATGGAGGTCTCCATATACAAAACAGGATCTTGGGAGTGAATCTGAGCTAGCAGGGTATTGAAAAATGGGAGTAGGTTGAGTTGATTTCCCAGACTATCAAAATTGCGCATGTGGCTAAGCAGTGCTTAGGGAAAACTTACAGCTCTAAATGCTATCAGAAAACTTGGTTCTTCCAACAGATTAATACAATATTAGTAATTTCTGTTTTCTCTCAAATGATTAAGAGAAAAAGTATTAATTACCAATATGAATGAAAAGGGAGTGTTATTCCAGATCCTACAGGTGTTAAAATGTTAAGATTTTTAAACATGACTTTATTTTCTTTTTTTAACTTTAAAAAATTACTTAATTATTTTTTAGAGAGAGGGAAAGGGGAGGAGAAAGAGAGGAAGAGAAACATTGATGTGTAAGAGAAACATCTATGGTTTGCATCTTGCATGCCCCTCACTGGGGACCTGGCCTACAACCCAGGAATCAAATCTGCAACCTTTCAGTTACAGGCCAGTTCTCAGTCCACTGAGTCACACCAGCCAGGGAATAAGACTTTATTTTCAATGGATCCCAAATGTCAGTCATTTTCTCATTCTACTACTTCTGTGTCCCTGTGGATCCCTTGTATCCATAAGGACAGCAGAACTCAGCAACTTTGCTAATACCTCCTCCACTCATAAAAATGGAACACACAACTTTTTTTTAGCTGGGGCTCAGAGAAATCAATTGTTTAAAATGCAATAACTTGAATGGAATTGAACATTGCAGAATGAAACAGAATAAAATAGCACAGGGGGGAATGGAATAAAATGGAAAGGAAAGGAAGGGAAAGGAAGGGAAGAAAATAGAAGTCAGATTTTGTGCCAGGCACTGGGTCTTATTATAGTAGATACCTACTAAATGAATATTTGTTCAACATCTGCTACTTGTTTGAGACACAAATAGGGAACAAAACAGAAATCTCTACCCTTATGAAGCTTATAGTCTACTAAAGGAGACAGATATTAGCTATGCAAAAGGCCTTGAGACAAAAGATACAAGGATAGCCGTTATGAGGAAAAGGCAAAAGGGCAATGTGGCTTGGAATTCAAGAACAATGGATGAGACTGTAGAAATTAGGGGTCATGGTAGGGAGTCTGAAATTTAACAAGATGACCATGACAACATCATGAGCATCATCATTAGCTCTTATGGCACTTGCTACCTGTCAAGCACTGTTCTAAACCCTTAAATATACAACTCTTTTTCTAAATGTTTACAACAGCTCTATAAGATAAATATAAAACCATGCCCATTTTAAAGGAAGGGAAACTAAGGCACAGAGAGATTAATTAAATGTCAGTGTGGCTCCAGAGCCTGTTCTTTTAACCACTATACTCAGTTATCTATAGTGCCAGACCACAGACACCTTACAATCCTATAGGACATGTAATGTAAATATACAAATTACTAAAGAATGCAAATCAAGAGAAAGACCTGTGGGAAATGTGCAGAGGGAAGAAAGTTGGGGTAAGGAGTTATGCCCTCCCACTGGGTGCCATGGTAGATTTCTAAATACACAGGCCCAGAGACATTTATTCCACCTGAGATGCTCCCTTCTTATTTTGTCCTCTGTGATCATAGCTGCAGAGTGGGAAAAGAGGGGACTGGGTTAAACTGGACAATGGAGGGCTTGTACTCATAGTGCTGGGCCTCCTCTGTGTCTTGTCATTTCTTGCAAAAGAGATGAGTTCCAGCTTGGGGAAACAAGAGAGGATTTGGTCTTGGTTTCCACTCCCTTTGTCTTTACTTCTCTCCCTCTGGAAGGAAAAAGAGAGCAGTAGAGAGCGGTCATGGCAGATGCATTGGCTCTTATGAATCTACACATTCGCAATAAGACTCTACCAAAGTTTCTTCCCAGGCCCTCACTAGTTTGGCCCAGTTGGGTGGGGACTGTCCTACAAAGTGAAAGGTAACTGGTTTGATTGCCAGTCAGGGCACATGTCTGGGTTGCAGGTTTGGTCCCTGTTAGGGGTGCATTCAAGAGGCAATCAATCAATGTTTCTCTCACACATTAATGTTTCTCTTACACTCTTTTTTTTTTTTTTTAGATTTTATTTATTTATTTTTAGGGAGGGAAGGGAGGGGGGAAGAGAGAGAGAGAGAGAGAGAGAGAGAGAGAGGGAGAGAAACATCAATGTGCAGTTGCTGGGGGTTATGGCCTGCAACCCAGTAATGTACCCTAGCTGGGAATCGAACCTGGGACACTTTGGTTCCCAGCCCGCGCTCAATCCACTGAGCTATGCCAGCTAGGTCTCTTACACTCTTTATCTCTCCCTTCCCCTCTCTCTAAAAAAATTAATAAATAAAACACTTAAAAATGTTTCTTCCCAAGACTTTCTCCTTGGAATAGGAGTGAGGAGGAAGTATACTCATTGGGGAGGAAAGGGGAGGTAAGGAGAACAAAACAGAAACTTGAATGTGACTAGTAGGAATTTGATCTTTTCTGATTTTTTTTTTTAGTTATGGCACACAACAGTCAGACCCCTTCCCCATGTCTTATTCAGAGACTTGACCACATCGTGATGACAGTAAAGAGTATCAAAGACATCACCATGTTTTATTCCAAGATTCTGGGCATGGAGATCATAACATTCAAGGTAATTACTTATGCAAATGCCAAACTTTAGGTGGAATAAAATTTGATTATAATACTTAAAAAAATAACTTTAGCCCTGGCTGGTGTGGCTCAGTGGATTGAGTGCTGGCCTGTGAATCAAAGGGTTGCCAGTTCCATTCCCAGTCAGGTCACATGCCTGGTTTTCAGGCCAGGCCCGTTGGTGGGGGGTGCACAAGAGGCAACCACACGTTGATGTTTCTCTCCCTCTATTTCTCCCTCCCTTCCTTTCTGTCTAAAAATAAATAAATAACATCTTAAAGAGATAAGTTAAAAAACACACAATAAATCTGTGAGAATTTAAAGGATCAGTAAAGGAGATTCCAAACTCTGAGTAGTGGAACTTCCAGAGAGAATAGAGAAATAGAGGGGAGGAAAGTACCACAGAAATAATTCAAGAGAACTTTCCAGTCTTTTAATGGAAAGGTTTAACTGACTATCCAGTACATTGACAATTAGATATGTTCTTATGAAATTATAGAACATCAAAGTGAAATTAAAGATCCTAAGAGCTTGTAGAGAGGTTAAAAAGAAAAGGAAAATACTTCAACTGCAAGGGAAAAAGAAATATGCAGATGTCAGAATTCCCAATATTCACAACAGAGACTAGAGAATTGAAAAACACCTACAAGATTCTCAGGGGAAAAAGTTCAACCTAGAATTCTATGTTCAACCAAATTATTAATCAAGGTGAGGATAGAATAAAACATTCTTAGATGTAAAAAGGCTCATAAACTTTGGCCACTTGCTTTGAAAATTGAGATTTATACAAAATCAAAATGACTGATTAAGCCAGAAATAAGGAAGGCATCAAAGTCAGGACACAGTGGATCCCAAGGGGAAGATCCCAAAAAGTACCTAGAGGATAATCAGTCCAATTTGGGACAGGAGAAAGAAAGGTCTGAAGAAGGAGAGATCTTAGTAAGAAAGGAGGTTTACAGAGATTGAATACTATTCTTGAGAATTTGAAGCAACTTCAAAAGTGGGAAATGCAGCCCTGGCTGGTGTGGCTCAGTGGATTGAGCACCAGCCTGTGAACCAAAGGGTCGCTGGTTCAGTTCCCAGTCAGGGCACATGCCTGCATTGTGGGCCGGGCCCCCAGTAGAGGACATGAGAGAGGCAACCACAGATTGATATTTCTCTTCCTCTCTCTGTCCCCTCTTCTCTCTAAAAAATAAATAAATAAAATCTTTTAAAAAATAGACTTATGCAACATCAGACTGGATGTATACACAGCAAGATGGACAGGTCTTAAAAAGACCATGCTGAGTGAAAAGTGAAGAAACAGAAATAGGTCAACAACATGATACCATTTAGAATATATGTACAAAAAAACAATAATACACTTTCTACAATAACTTATGGTATACAAATATCAAACACATTATAATGTTGACTAGGGTGGGGATAGAAGTAGAGAATGGAGATAAGAAGCATAAATGCATAAAGAAAACTAGAGATATTTCTGGCCAAGATGGAGGCTAGGTAGATACACTTTGCCTCCTTGCATAACCAAAAGAAGGACAACAAATTTAAAAACAAAAAACCACCAGAACTGGCAGAAAATCAAACTGTATGGAAGTCTGACAACCAAGGAGTTAAAGAAGAAACATTCACCCAGACCCGTAGCGGGGTTGGAGATGAGCAGAGGACTTGTGGCAAGGCAGCTGCTGGCAGACTGGGTGAGGCAGTGGCGGCTGGTAGAGCAGGCGGTCCCACATTCGCATGCAGATGAACTGAGAGGAACAACTGGGAAGTGAGACAGGCCATGCAAACCAGGGTTCCAGTGAGGGAAAATAAAGCCCCAAAACCTCTGACTAAAAAACCTGTGGGGGCTTAGGTGGCAGCAGAAGAAACTCCCAGCCTCATAGGAGAGTTCATTGGAGAGACCCACAGGGTCCTCAAATATAGACAAACCTACCCACCTGGGAATCACCACCAGAAGAGTCTAATTTGCTTGTGGGTAAAGGAGGAAGTGGCTGAAAGCTACAGAGAGCTGAGCAACCACCATTGCTCCCCCTCGGCCCCTCCCCCACGTAGAGCATCACAATGAAGTGATGTGTTGCCCGCCCTGGTGAACATCTAAGACGCAACATCTAAGGCCCCTTAGTACATAACAGGCCTGCTGAGACAAAAAATGGTCCAAATGAAAGAATAGCTCAAAGCTCCAGAAAAAAATACAACTGAGGAAGAGATAGCCAATCTATCAGATGCACAGTTTAAAACACTGGTAATCAGGATGCTCACAGAATTGGTTGAATATGGTCACAAAATAGAGGAAAAAGTGAAGGCTATGCAAAGTGAAATAAAGGAAAATGCACAGGGAACTAACAGTGATGGAAAGGAAACTGGAACTCAAACCAACGATTTGGAGCAGAAAGAAGAAATAAACATTCAACCAGAACAGAATGATGAAACAAGAATTCAAAAAAATGAGGAGAGGCTTAGGAACCTCCAGGACAACCTTAAACGTTCCAACATCTGAATCATAGGCATGCCAGAAGGAGAGGAAGAGCAAGAAATTGAAAACCTATTTGGAAAAGTAATGAAGGAGAACTTCCCTAATCTGGCAAAGGAAATAGACTTCCAGGAAGTCCGGAAAGCTCAGAGAGTCCCAGAGAAGTTGGACCCAAGGAAGCACACACCAAGGCACATCATAATTACATTACCCAAGATGAAAGATAAGGAGAAGAATCTTAAAAGTAGCAAGAGAAAAGAAGACAGTTACCTACAAAGGAGTCCCCATAAGACTATCAGCTGATTTCTCAAAAGAGACCTTACAGTCAAGAAGGGGCTGGAAAGAAGTATCCCAAGTCATGAAAGGGGAGGACCTACATCCAAGATTCCTCTATCCAGCAGAGCTATCATTTAGAGTGGAAGGGTAGATAAAGTGCTTCTCAGATAAGGTCAAGTTAAAGGAGTTCATCATCACCCAGCCCTTATTATATGAAATGTTAAAGGGACTTATCTAAGAAAAAAAATAAGATAAAAAACATGAATGGTAAAATGACAACAAACTCACAACTATCAAGAAATGAACCTAAAAGAAAAGAAAAACAACAAAAACAAAAACTAGGCAAACAACTAGAACAGGAACAGAATCAGAGAAAAGGACATCACATGGAGGGATTTCAGTGGGGAGGGGGAAGGGAGGAATAGGGGAGAAGAGGTACAAGGAAGAAGAAGCATAATTAGTAGGTATTAAATAGATGGAGAGAGGTCAAAAATGGTATAGGAAACAGAGAACTCAAAGAACTTATACATACAACCCATGGACATGAATTAAGGGGGGGGATGCTGGAGGGTTGGGGGTGCAGGGCAGAGCGGGGATAAGGGGGGAATTGGGAGAACTGTAATAGCATAATAAATAAAATATACTTAAAAATAAAAATAAATTTAAAATATAAATGAAATTAAATTAATTTTAAATGAATTGAAAGAGGAACTACAAATGATAATAGAATTCTATTAGGAGGGGTAGTAATGTGGGTGAGCTAAATTCTCATTTATAATAGCAGGGAGAAGATAGAGATGGCTAAAGTTGTTAAATGAAGAAATAGTGGCAAATCATTTAGGGACTGTGTCTAGAGGCACATACGAGAAGACCCAAATAACAGTCAGCAAAGAAGGTAGAGTTTTCTTTTTCTCTCATTCAACAACCAGTGGAGAGGCATGCAGTCTATGGCTGGGAAAAAGGAGGAAGTGAATGGGACAAAAGTGTTAGCTCAGTGAGGTAGGGAGAGTCCCAGAATCCCCACCCACAATGTCTGCTGACATCATTTACATTGTGTTTATAAGTAAAAAGGGAGCCATGGCTGGTGTGGCTCAGTGGATTGGGTGCTGGCCTGTGAACCAAAGGATTGCAGGTTCGATTCCCAGTCAGGGCACATGCCTGGGTTTTGGGCCAAGTCCCCAGTAGGGGGCACATGAGAGGCAACTACACAGTGATGTTTCTCTCCCTCTCTTTCTCCCTCCCTTCCCCTCTATCTAAAAATAAATAAATAAATTCTTAAAAAAGTAAAAAAAGAGAAATGTATATTAAGTAGGCAAATTGCTGTTTCTGCCATGGAGAGTATCAACATATTATTTGGTGACAGGAAAATAATTTCCAGAAGCAATAAACACACACATTAAAAGTTACCCGAGTCTGGGCGTGTGTGGGCAGCAACCAATCAATGCTTTACATCTATCTTTCTCTCTCTCTAAAAAAACAATGAAAAAATGTCCATATGTGAGTATTAAAAAAAGGCAATTTCCCCTAAGGAATGAGACTTGGGTGGGGCACAGGATTGTGGTTTTGTTTTGTTTTGTTTTGTTTTCACTAAAAGCTCTGTTAATACTTTTCTAAAAACCTTGTTGGGGTAGGTAGGGAGAACTTTGCCTCACGCACATCTTGAAAGTTTAGCTCTAGGTTGTCTTCTCTCTCAAAACAGGGAGATAGGAAGGCATTGTGTTTTGGAGACCAGAAATTTAACCTTCATGAAGTGGGAAAGGAATTTGAACCTAAAGCTGCTCACCCAGTTCCTGGCTCCCTGGACCTTTGGAGAAAATGATCCAACACCTCAAGATGAGTCAGACTTCCATTCTTTTTGAGAAAGCTGCTGCAGATGCGGTGAAAACAGAAGCATGACCCAGGGAGGTCTTCCTCAAACTTCAGGCATAAGAGGTTTCCTCACATCTTAAATTGTTTATTCATTATCTTTATTGACATCTTTTTTTTAATGTAAACAAATGTATTTTAAAAGGAAACTTTAGCCCTGGCCAGCGTGGGCTCTATTGATTGGGCCTCATCCCACAAACAGAGGGGTGGCCCATTTGGTTCTCAGTCGGTACATGCCTGGGCTGCTGTCTCTGTGCGCCATCCCTGGATGCTTGTAGAAGGCAGCCAATCAATGTTTCTCTCTTGTATCGATATTTCTCTCCCTCTCTGTCTCCCTCCCTTCCCCTCTTCTAAAAAAAGTTAAAAGAAACTTTACATTACACTTCTAAAATAATCACCTACCAGTAAATTCTCTTTACATAAATACATCTGTGTAAAAAGAAAATATTCAACCAAGTAAATGAAAAGCTCATTCTATCTTGGCACAAAGGGAAGGTAACTATAAAAACAAACAGCTACAAAAGCATCACAATGTCATTTGGTTCTAGCTATTTCCATTCTGTGAACTCTGTGAGCCTGACCTTCCAAGTGGGAATTTGGCAGGTGGTTAAGGTGGTGCTAAGGACTTGTTAGCATCCACCAGAGACTTTCTTCTTAGTATAATCAGAAGGATTGAAGAAAGATAGAAGAGGGAACAATATCTAATTTGCTATTATTTAATATTGGTGTCCCTGTAACACTTAAAATAATTTCATGTAACGGAGGCATTTGTTCTTCTGTTGGGGAATACAGATCAAGGTCTTGAATATACTCTAGATTCCTTTTTTTGAAAGTATCAGTGAAAAAGTCTTGTTTGGAATTAAAGTGGGGAAAGGATAAGGATTAAGAATATAGACTTTGGCCTAGACTGCCTGGGTTTGAATTCTGACTTTGCCACTTACTAAATAGCACTAGACACTATTATCATTATCCACATTTTACAGATGAGGAAACTGAGGTACAGGGCAGTTATCTACCCAAGGCCATACACCTGGTATGTGGCTGGAGCAGAGGGAGGGGAGAAGAATGGTAGATGAAGTCAGAAAGATATAGAGGTCTTTGGGCCACTATATAAGGAATTAAATTTTGGTCTGACACATGGAATGTGATGAATGACTTTTGTCTTCCAATTCAGGCTTGTGATGTTCCCATTGAGGAGGGTCCAGTCCCCAGAACTGGGGCAAAAGGGCCCATTATGTCCATCTACTTCCGATACCCTGACAGAAACCTGATTGAGGTGTCCAACTATATTTCCTGTGATTGAAGCTGGAGCTCCTCCATTTTGTTCCCTGCAATGTTGCCATCTTCCTTTCTCCCTCCAGGCTCTCACCTGGACCCAGAGACCTCCAAGGACTGACAACTTAGGCACTTCCCACATCCTGCTAGGGGAACCTCAGATGGGTTTGGGGCCAAATCTACAAGACCAAATGTTCTCATTCCAAGCTGCTCCAATAAATTAATAAACTCTCAAGTAATATGTATTCCTCGTTATTATCATCTTGGTGTTATATATGGGTGTTTGTCTAGTGCATGAGGTCTCTGAACCCTTTGGGGGTCAGGAACTAGGGTATGACATCTCTGAGGATCAAATCCAGGGTCAGGCTCTTGAGATTCAAGGCCTCTAACAGATTTCTCCTTGTCCATGAACCCATCCTTTTTTATCCGTTTAGACTCATCTCACTCCTTCCAGGTGTTGCCTGCTGTTTCTTCTACCTCAGAGGCCTCAGTGAACCCCAAGATATCTAAAATTCCCATGAGATCTTCAAGGACCAGCCCAGATGATACTACCTCCTCTTGGTATGCCTTTATCTGGTCTCACCCCCAGGGGATGTGGCACTTTCTACCTTTGGATTTGGTAAGTACGGACTCATCTCAATTGACTCTCAGATCCTGACAGAGTAGATAGTAAAGGACAAATTTCCTCTGTTTCTGTAACCCCCCACCACACCATTCATTCACTCAATTAATAAACATATATTGAGCATCTACTGTGTGCTTGACCCTGTTCCAGGCTTTGGAGAGATAGCATTGAACAGAAGGGATAAGCATATCTATGTTTGTGGAGCTACCATTCTACTGGGAAAGATACAAAATAAATAAAATTAAGTAAGGAAAATACTAAATATGTTAGAGGATGATAAATGCTTTGGAGAAAAAGAAAACATGGAAAAGAGGGAACACATAAAAACCACTAGGGCAGTTTCCAGTATTTAATAGGATGGTCAGGGAAACTTCACTGAGGAGATATTGGAGCACAGACCTGCAGAGATAAGGGGGAAGTTGCATGGATCACTGAAAGAAGAGCATACCAGACAGAGAGAAAAGCCAGTGGAAAGGCCCTAAAGCATGAGTGCGCCTAATGTGTGTGAGGAACAGCAGGAGACCAGTGAGGAGAAAGAGGGAGCAGTGAGTGACAGACTGGATGAGTTCACCAAGAGAGAAAATATCAACTAGAGAAGAGGCCCAAACATATTTACAGTTCTGAAAAAAGGAGAGGAACCAGCAAATTAGGTAGGTATACAGGGAAGGGAAGAATACAGCTTCCTGAATGAATGCATAATGGATAAAGGAGCATGTATAAGAGTCTCTTGAGGCAAGGGAGTCCCTAGTCTTGTGTACTCTGGTCTCTAAACAGTCCTTACCCAGATGGTAATTCAGCCAGGTCCTATGAGTGAACCCCCAGGGAGCCCCAAAAATGCTGGAAGAGAGACTATGTATGGATGTGTTTTAGTACATGAAAGGCTTTGCCAAAAGCTGCAGCAGGTTTCCTGCCTATTTTTTAAAGATACCTTGCTTTGGATCCAGATATTATATGCCTGGAGATAGATAATTATTGCATAAAAGAAAGAAGGGAGGGAGGGAGAGAGGAGAGACAGAGGGAGAGAGGGAGGGAGGGGAGAGAGGGAAGGAGGGCAGCAGAATGGTGGATGAATGAATGGTTACATGGGTGGGTGCGTGGGTGGATGGATAGATGGGTGGGTAGATGGACTAATATCCCTTGCTCCTGGAGAAACTCTTTCACACATTTGTTTTCAGAAAGAAGAATATGAGTTTGTAAATTACAAATTTGCTCTAATAGGGGAAAAAAACCCTAGAAACAATGCAAACGTCCACCAGCAGATGGATGGTTAAATAAACCATGGTATCTCCATTCCATGGAATACTAACTCAATAATAAAAGGGAATAAGTTTATGGGCTTAGCATTAACCTTATATCAAAACCAGACAAAGATATAACAAGACAAGAAAACTACAGACCAATATCTCATGAATATAAATGCAAAAATCTTCTATAAAATACTAGCAAATAGAATTCAGCAATATAGAAAAGGGTTATATAACATTATACATATAATGTTATGTATATGTATATGTATATACATATGTATATGTATATGTATAAAATATAACACAACCAAGTGGGATTTACCTTAGCAATATAAGATTGATTCAATGTATGAAATCAATCAATGCAAATACACCAGATTAATAGAATAAAGTATAAAAAGTACATAATTTCAGAGGTGAAGAAAAAAGCATTTGACAAAATTCAACTCCCTTTCATGATAAAAACATTCAACAAACTAGGAATAGAAGAGAACTTCCTCAACCTGATAAAGGGCATTTGCAAAAACCTACAGCTAACATCATACTTAATGGTGAAATACATAAAACTTTATCCTGAAGATCAGGAACAAATCAAGGATGTCTCCTCTCACCACTTCTATTCAACATTTTCTGGAGGTTCTAGTCAAGACAATTAGGTAAGAAAAGAGATAAAAGCCATTCATATTGAAAAAAGAAGTTAGACTATCTGTATTTGCAGATTTTTTACTCAGAAAATCTTAAGTAACCTACAACAAAACCATTACACACACACACACACACACACACACACACACATGCACTCAGCAAGGTTACAGGACATAAGATCACACAAAATTAATCATATTTTATATATTAACAGTGAACAATCCAGAAATGAAATTAAGAAAACAATTTTAGTTACAATAGCATCAAAAATAATAAAATACTTAGTAATAAATTTAACAAAATGTGGGTAAGACTTGTACACTGAAAACTGTAAAACATTGTTGATAGAAATAAAAGGAGAACTAAATAAATGGAAAGACATCACATGTTTACAGATAAAAGACTTTATAGTGTTAAGATGGCAATACTACCTAAATTGATCTACAGATTTTATGCAATCCTGACCAGAATCCCATCTTGCTTCTTTGCAGAAATTGACAAACTGATCCTAAAATTCATGTGGAAATACTAGGGACCCAGAATGGTTACAACAGTCTTGAAAAAGAAAAACATAGTTGGAGGACTTGCACTTCCCAATTTAAAAACTTACTACATAGCTACAGTAATCAACAGTGTGTGGTACTAGCATAAAAATAGATATATAGATCAGTTGAATAGAATCCAGAAATAATACAACATGGGCAACTGATTTTTCATAAGTGTGTCAAGACAAGTCAATGGATAAAAAAGAGTCTCTTGAACAGGTGCTGTTGGAGCAGCTGAACATCCACATGCAAAAATGAAGTTGGACCCACCTCAGAGTAGATACAAAAATCAACTCAAAAATGAACCAAATATAACAGCTAAAACTATCAAAAGAAAACATAGGAGTGAATCTTCATGACCTCCCATTAGGCAATGGTTTCTTAGATATGACATATGACACCTAAAACATAAGCAACCAAAGAAAGAATAGATAAATTGGACTTTGTCAAAACTAAAACCTTTTGTGCTTCAAAAGACACTCTCAAGAAAATGAAAAGACAATCCACAAGTAGGAAAAAGTGTTTACAAATCACCTATCTATAATAGTCTAGCATCCAGAATATATGAAGAACACTTATAACTCAACAATAAAAAGACAAACAATCCAATGAAAAATGGGCAAGGAATTTGAATAGATATTTCTCTAAAGAAATGTGCAAATGGTCAATAACACAAGAAAAAATGCTCAGCATCATAAGTCATTAGGAAAATGCGAATCAAAACCACATCACACCCACTAAGATGGCTAGAATCAAAAAGCAGGACAATATCAAGTGTTGGAAAGGATATGAATAAATTGCAACCCTCATACCACTTCTGTGGAGAATAGTTTTGCAGTTCCTCAAAATGTTAAACAGAATTACCATAAGGCCCTGCAATCCCAGTCCTCATACTGTACGATTCCATTTGTATGAAATGTCTAAAACAGGCAAATCCATGAGACAGAAATTAGATTAGTGGTTGCCAGGGGCTTAGGGGAAGTAGAAATACAGTGGGAATAATGGGTACAGGGCTTCTTTGGGGGGTGATGAAAACATTCTAGAATTAGTGTTGATAATTACACAACCATGTGAATAGCCTAATAATTGAAATCTATACTTTAAAAGGGTGAATTTTATGGTATGTGAATTACATCTTAATAAAACACAGTGAACTATTGACACACACAACAATCTGAATGGATGTACAGACATCATGCTGAGCAAAAGAAGCACATATGCTTTGATTCCATTTATATCAAGTTCAAAAACAAGCCCTAAATCCCCAGTATCGTATGTTGTTTAGGGGCACATACATATGTACTAATTAGAGTAAAAACAGTCATGAGGGCCCTGGCTGGCATGGCTCAGTGGATTGAGTGCCGGCCTGTGAATCAAAGGGTATCAGGTTCGATTTTCAGTCAGGGCACATGCCTGGGTTGTGGGCCCAGTCCCCAGTTGGCTGGTGAGGTGGGGGAGGGGGGGTTGTCCTGTGAGAGGCAACCAATCTATGTTTCTCTTGGACATTGATGTTTCACTCACTCCCTTTCTCTTTTCCTTCCCCTCTCTCTAAAAAAAATAAAATAAAATCTAAAAAAGGGTTTATAAAAAATAGTCATGAGGAAGATAAACACCAAACTCAAGGCACTGAAAGGAAAAAGGGAGACGAAAGTGGTGCAAGGACTTTAAGTGTATGTGTAATATTCCTTTTTTAAAGGATCTGAAGTAAATAAGACAGGTTTCTGTCCCCATCCTGGTAGACTCCACAGTCTGGAAGAGACATAAATAGTCCAAATGCCATGGGCTGGTACCAAGCTCTAGAATCCTAGAAGATGCCAGGAGGGAGGCAGCCAGTCAGGGAAGACTTCAGGAAACAGAGGACGATAGGGCTGAGTCTCAAATGGAGGTATAATAGAGAGGATGCTTGGCTGGGACACTCCACCCCCACCCTCACCCCCACCTCCCGCCCTCGTGGGTCTCCCCCAAA